GTTCGGTGCAGTACCGTACAGACCACTTCCATGTGAATTACTATCATAATAGTGACCCTGAGTATTCTCATCCCTGGAAGAAAGTATAAAGCAGCAATGTGACTGGTCTAGGTTTCTGACTTCCACAATACTCATGTTTTTTTTTTTTTTCATGGTATTTTGTTTATTATTGATTTATTAGCATAATCCCTGCTCTTTCCACTGCAAGTTTCCCAACCTCTATGAGCATACGCAAGTGGGCTACAGTATATAGCCCCTGGTAGAAAAAATTGGAAAACAGGTGGGATTGACAAGAGAGCAGACTGGGGGGTAAGAGATATCAGAATTTCTAATTAAACTTTAAATTACAGGAGAATCACCACTGCCGTGCACACTCACAACTCACTACCGGGTATGTCCCCTATTGGCACTGAGGACTGCTTGAATCCTTTCAGGCATAATATCTACTATTTTCACAATTTCCTCTATTGTGATCTTGTTCTATTCATCAATTACGGCTTCTTTGACTTAGGTAAGGCCTCTGAGTCGTGGCTGGCACTGGTTGACACAAGTCTTGATGAGGTTTTATATATTTTCTATAGGGTTAAGATTTGGTGATGCTAGTAGCCATCTGAGGAAAGGGATTCTGTAGAGATCGCGATAGGATTGAGTAAGGCGGGTCTGGTGGGAGGATGCTCCATCCTCCATTAGCCAAAGAGAAGAACCCACACGCCAACTTTCATGATACCAAAATGGCCAAATTGTAGGGACCAAGATGTGATCAACATAGATTTTGGCAGAGATAGTACCACAATCATCACGCTCCCAAATGACCAGAATCTTCTTTCCACCGTCCCCCAATATACCCTCCCAAATCATGATCAAATCCTTCTTCTGAAATCTCGGAACCAAACAATTCTCTTATCACTCCTCTCCTGCTACCCTTATCACATACACCTTGTCTTGCAATCCACCCAACCAAACATAATATTCATCCGTCCATATTTCATGCCTCCACTCCTGTATACTCCAATGACTATGTCTTTGGGCAAATGTAAGGTGCTTTGCACGCTTGATGTCGTCCAGATAAGGCTTGCGGCGGGCGGAACATCAATGGTAGCCCTCCTTAGTAAAGGCATTTCATAGTGCTGTCTCACTAGCCTCAATGCATAGCTCTTAGGCGATATCAACCAGACATCCGACAGTGTTCTGCATCTGAGGTAGCTAATGATACCAGTACTCGTCTCTGTAGGATGTTGAGCTTGAGCTTTCAGCCAACCTGGAATTTCTTTTGCGGTGTCATTAGCTGGCTGCATATCTGGGAAACTGTCAATACCAGTACTCCCTAATTGTCCACGATTTGTTGAAGTGTCCACCCAGCTGTGAACCTCAAGGCATGAATCGTGCATTGTTGTTTATAGGTAAGGTCGTCCATTCTAGCTGTTACCTGGTATCAGATGCCGGAAATCTTGCTTCCTTCCCTTGCTTAAGTACTTCATACATTCTTACAGCCAATAAGGGCCCTGGTTCTGCACTGACTTGCCCAGACTCTGCACAGACTTTGCACGGACACTGCACGGCGGTAGTTACCGTATCGCCCAAGCTAATTGCTTTCCCTCCTTCCCTCCTTCCCTCCTTCCTTCCTTCCTCCTTCCCTCCAGGAACGCCCGCTACCAGATTAGAGCAGGATGCCGTACTCGTACAGTAACGGCGGAGGGTTTTCTGGTCACGTGGTATGTATTCCCTCATTACGGTACTATGCAGGGACCTCGATAATATTCTGCGCTGAGTTGTGCTTGGCTCGATAGGCAACAGTGGAGCACAGTTGGTGCTCCACTGTTGGGTGCCGTTAAGGCTATCCTTATTTTGTTGCTCTGATAGGATAGTAGGGATAAAGTAAGATGGGGTGGGAAGGAAGTACCATATTCGTACAGCAATCGTACAGTACGGTACTGTACGAGTACTTGTACTGTGGCGGCACGGTGTGGGTGCGTTTAGGTGAATCGGTGATGCTGAGTCCTTCCTGCGATGATAGCTTGTCGCGGGTTTTGCTTTTCTCTCTTGGCTCGGCTTGGCCGACACGCTCGAGCATTGGGCGGTGAGTGGAGTTGCGGTAGCACGGCGCCGCTGCGGGTACAGCCGATAGATAGTAAATTAGTCACGTGAACCAATCTGATAGGCGATATTTGATGAGCCTCATTTTGTTGAGAAGAGACACGTGACTGATATAGACTAGGTATAGGCGGCATGAATGGTGTGAGCGTGATACTATACCCGTATGACGTGCTCCATCAGAGGACCACTTTACTCGCACTTTCTCACTTTCAAAGTGTCAAGTGGATGGCTGCTCGAGCAGACTTGCTTAATGGGGGGAGTTAGGGGGGGGGGTTAGGGTTTCACGTATTGTCAAGTCCGAAAAAGGTGGGCCCCATGGGGATAGTATCATAGGTGGTGGTTGGTGGAGGCCGACAAAACCTGGAAGAGAGAGAGGGACTCGACTTGTATCATACCGTAGCTATCGTGGTTGACATGGAGGGTGCCAACACCCCTCCCTACAGGCTACAGCCCACTGGTGGGTGGTAAGGGGGTAGGGGACCCAATGATGGCAGTTAAATATCCTTGCAAGGAATGTCAAGATGTAATCAATGGATAAGGCGAAATCTATGCTGCAGCGTACTCGAGTAACGTACCAGTAAGCTAAACTACCGGTCCGGACTATTTCTATCCACAATTCTTCCTGGATAAATACTATTACCGGTATTATATCTGCAGTACTTGTACGACAATTTGGGTCGGTCAGGTCCCAGGTTATCTTCCATTTGTCTTCGGGCTACCTTGGCATCCCGTCTCGGTCTTGCATCTCCAAAATTTTGTGAGGTTTTAACTTACACACCGATCCTGCGCTATCATGCCTGGCATTTTTGGTGGGGGTTGAATTTATGTTTCGCTGCTGCATCCCTCGGCGGTATGCATACGGTCCTGGTGCTCGACTACTCGTACCGTACCGGTATCCATGTTGTGAATTCTGTCTGTCCATCCGGGACTTCCCAGTCAACCCATGACGACCCGTGCCTTTTTTTTCTAAAGGATCCCAGGGGCCACAATTGCTGACCCCGAAGCCTCCTTCCATGTCTCCAAAACTTCCATGGCGATGAAAGACAAGTCGAAAAAACCGGTCATCAGGCCAATTAAGCCAAGCAATCCTGCACCGTTATTAGAAATAGATAATGACCGTATCATACGCACGATTTGGCCTACGGTCCCAAGAAATGGTGGTGGTCAGAGGGCGGTGACAAAATCTGCCATACCCCCCCCCCGCCACAACTTCAGAATCAGGGAAGGAGATATTTGTACCGTCTAAGCCAGACATGGATAGCGGACCGGATTCATGCGGCTGCATCCGGGCGCCTGGAGGGAAAAGGAAAAAAAAAAGAGAACCCACGTGAGGTTGCTTTGGAACAGGGATTATCGACAGCAACTTACCGGTATTTTATCAGTACTCGAGTACGGTAGGTCACTCTCACTTCTCCTCCTGCCCAAGTGGGGGCTGAGGAGGAGGAGAAGGAATGTGGGGAAATGGAAAGGTATCATAGGGTGGAACTAGGATGAACTGCTGTGTGTGACTTTTAGGTTTCTTCACTTGCATATGAATTGGGATGGAGGGGATGTGCGTGGGATGGTGCAGCCGGTGCGGTTACTCGAGGGCCAGCGGAGGAAAGTGTGTTCGCTTGCCTTGCTTATCCGGGTGAGGTTTTGTTCGGCAAGTACTTGCTTTTTTCTTAGTGGGCAAGAGAGAAGGAAGGAAAGAAAGGTCTCAGAGTGTTGAGTGCGGTATGTGAGGGTGTGTGTGTGGGTGGGAAAGTGCAGCAGCTCGTCCTTTCTTTCTTGATAATTTCACCACCCTACGGTACTCGAGGAGATATAGCTATCATACAGCGCCGCACTCCGCAATCGCAAGTCTACTGTGGGACTATTTCCTGGACCAATACGGCACCAACCAACCAAGGTGTTCCGGGTACGGCAGCGCTACCGCGTATCTGTGCGAATGTCACCTTCCTCGGGCTATGATATTTGTACGTACGATACCAAGTATTCTTATGGTAGTCTACCGCTATTTCGCGGCTTTTTTGCTGTTGTTATGCTATGGCATGGGTAACCTTTGCCAGTCTCGTCTGTCCCTCATGAATGAGGCCATTTTCGTCAATAACTCTTTGTCAGAGGTTCTGGGCTTAGAGCTCCTTTCTCTTTGCAATTTCATACGTGACGGGTGACTGCGAACTGCATACGGGGTGGTACTTCCGACTCCCTGATCGCCGTCGTCGCCTGGCGAACGCGGGAATTGAGGTTGTCGGTCAGGACGATTGAAATTTGAGCCTCCTGCCGTCTCTGGGCAAGAGGAGAATTGTCGTGCTGTGGATAGGTATGATAGCAGGGTCCGATACTCAACTCCAGTATCATAATATGATACGAGTGCCGTACAGACCTAAACCAAGGGGTTTTTGATACGGCTGAGAACTGGTACCGGTACTGTACCCAGTATCCGAGAAACTGAAATTTTGTATGCGCCCTCATATAATAGTACTCTACCGTTCACTATGAAAATTCAAATATACCAGTAGTAGAAGTTGCCATAAACAAAAATGGGATTGTATCGTTTGAAATTGCTGCGACATGGTGAATCCACTTGCGCTTGCACGCTCGAGTATCATATCATATAACAAGCGCAATATTGACGGGGACAAGCGAGGGCCTGGGGTGTTCCACTTTAAGCCAAGACCTTGATAGTTGAAGCTATGATATCTTGCTGCTAGCTGCATAGTTTTGCTATCATATCATTCTCGAGTAGGTTACTGCAGTGCTGTGCCCGCACTCTTTGTTATCGGGACCCTATCTTGCACCCCCCCGCTGAGCGGGCCAGGTCTGCTTTTTTTTGGACCCCCCACCCCCTTAAAGTCCCCCCCCTCCGCTTTCTTGCTACTTCTTCTCTCCTCTCTTCTTATTTCTCCTCGTTCCCCTCTTCATCGCCTTCTCTTCCTCTACGTTCGTGGAGTGGCTGTGGAATCGACAACCTTCTGCTGATTTCTGTACCCGGTGGTGCTTAGAATACTTAATTTTCCGGTTTCTTTCATCAAGATCCGCCCAGCATGGCCGGAGGGAGTGGAAACTCCACGGGTCCCGCCAACCAAGCGGGGGTATTGGAGGGGATGAATCCTTCGCATTACAATCCTAACGATCCTCTTACACTGTTCATCATTCAGGTTGGTTTTTTTGCTCGTCCCAATAGCTAAACTTCGGGCGGGGGCGGTGTGGGGGGGGGAACCATTTGTTCTGACAGGGCGTGCGCGATAGGTCACCCTTATTATCGTCGTTTGCCGTCTTTTGCACTGGCCTCTCTCAAAGTTACGGCAGCCCCGTGTTATTGCGGAAGTCGTCGGGGGCATCATTTTGGGTCCTACTGTCATGGGCAGAATCCCTGGCTTTAGGGATGCCATATTTCCCAAGACCTCCATGCCGTTGCTTTCTCTGGTTGCCAATCTCGGACTTGTAATCTTTTTGTTCCTTGTCGGACTGGAAGTGGACATGCGATTGCTGCTTGTGAACTGGAAGGTTGCAGTGAGTGTCAGTGCGGCGGGAATGGTACTGCCCTTCGGATTTGGTGTGTGAAACCAAACTAATCCTGGCCCTGGTTCCTGGACACGCACGGCTGACCTGGCGTTTCCTTTGTATCAATTTAGGCGCGGCCATCGCTTACGGCCTTTACCATCAATTTAAGAATGACAGTGATGTCAACAACAATATATCCTTCGCAGTCTACTTGCTTTTTATTGGTGTTGCAATGGCGATCACAGTGCGTGCTGCAGCCAACATCCTGAGCCCATCCAGGTTGCACTGCTTTGGAATGCTGACTGTGTTCGTGTTTGGTAGGCCTTTCCGGTGCTCGCTAGGATTTTGACCGAGCTCGAGCTTCTGGGCACATCCGTTGGAACCATCGTCTTGTCAGCTGGTGTGGGTAATGACGTTGTCGGGTGGATCTTGCTTGCCCTGACGGTCGCATTGGTCAATGCGGGAACTGGGCTCACGGCGCTCTATGTCCTACTATTATCGATCGCCTGGATTTTGTTCTTGGTTTACGCCGTCCGACCTGTCTTCATATGGTTCTTGCGCCGTGATGGCTCCTTGGAGAACGGGCCGACCCAGTCTATGGTGGCGCTCACAATGCTAATGGTTCTCGCATCGGCATTCTTCACTAACATCATTGGTGTACACGCGATTTTTGGTGGATTCCTGATAGGATTGATTTGTCCTCACGAGGGCGGTTTCGCCGTTCGACTTACGGAAAAGATTGAGGATCTCGTGTCTGTCCTGTTCCTTCCCCTTTACTTCACTCTTTCCGGATTGAGAACGGATATTGGATTGCTCAACGGGGCCGTCGCGTGGGGCTATGTCGTTGGCGTCCTTACTATAGCTTTCTTGGCCAAGATTACCGGTGGAACCGTGGCGGCAAGGCTCAACGGCCTGGTGTGGAGAGAGAGTTTGACGATTGGTGTCCTTATGAGTTGTAAGGGTTTGGTTGAATTGATCGTGCTGGTAAGTTATTTCGGTGATTCGGCAGGAGCTGGAGCCAAGCATGAAAGGGCCATCATGTTAATTTTGCGGTGTTTTGAAGAACATTGGTCTTCAAGCAGGGATTTTAGGCGTAAGGGTGTTCACGATATTCGTGATCATGGCTTTGGTTACCACCTTTGCTACCACCCCATTGGTAACGTATTTGTACCCTCCGGACTACCAGAAGAAGATGGATGCCTGGAGAAAGGGCAAAGCCGACCGGGATGGAAACCCAATTCAATTTGGCGACGATGATAGCTCCCAGGGAACTCTTGGAGGCCAGAAGGCGGTCGTTACCAGGTTTTCCAAGATCACAGTGCTGCTTCGTCTTGAGAGCATGCCGAGCATTCTCACCTTTGTTAACTTGTTGGCTGGAGAACGAGTGCGACCTGCTCCCAAAGTTCACAAATCAAAAGCAGCGATTCCCGAGGAAGATCCACTCTCGTCCCGCTCCGATATTAGCAAACGTCCTTTGGAGGTGCATGGGGTCCGCCTCGTCGAACTCACTCAGCGTACATCAACCGTCATGCAAGTGTCCGAAGTCGACGAATTGCAGGACAGGGATCCGGTTGTCAATGTCTTCCGTTCCTTCGGCAAGTTCTTGAACATGGCCGTCTCTGCTGTATTGTTCATAACGCCCGAGGCTTCCTTCGCCGAGACCTTGGTCGGTAAGGCTGCTGATCGCTCTTCCGACCTTCTCTTGATTCCATGGAGTGAGACCGGCGCCATGAGCGACGCCCAGGACGCACAGTATGCGAATACCGAGAATCGTTTTACTACTCAGCAGCATAACCTGTTCATCAATAAAGCGCTTGATACTGCTGCCTGTACCGCTGCTATCATGGTTAATCGAGGGTTTGGAGGTCCTTTGATGGAACGAACTCTTTCTCGTGCCATCAGTCAAATCAGTGTCCGGTCTCGCAAGAACGCTGACTCCGCTCCTCCTGTTCCTCCAGTTGCTGACCCTTCGCATCATATCTTCTTCCCCTTCTTTGGCGGCCCGGATGATACCATTGCCATGAGATTTGTCTTGCAACTGGCCACCAACACCAACGTTACGGCCACGATTGTCCGTGTTGCCTACAAAGCCGGCGTCGTGGAAGAACCTTTGGACCTCCCCGCACCGGCTAACATCCACCGCCCCGACCTCCCAAGAAGCCTCTCTATGTCTAACGTGCCAACACTCTCCCGCGAGGATACAGCCAAGGATTCCACGACCCAATCCCCAGCCACCGCCGGTGACCCTGCGGTCCCCGACGCCGTAGACGCTTTCTTCCAGTCAATGGCCGACTCTGTCCCCGCCGCCATTTCCCAGCGTGTCCTCTTCGAAACCGTCGAAACAGCCCAACCCATCCACTATGTCATTTCCAGGGCGAAGGGGGAAGTTGGCCAATCAAAGAATGCTGGAGACTTGATCATTGTGGGGCGTTGCCAGCCCGACGTCCAGCCCGACATCAGACGCGAGCTTGTCTCTGTCCTAGCCTCCTTAGGCGTCCCCTCCGGCGCGGGTAACGAGACGAGAAAGTGCCTCGGCGACATGGCGGAAGCCATTATCGTCTCTGGAATCAAGGCTTCCATGATTGTGCTTAAAGCTGGCGGGAAAGCTCTTGAGCCCAACGATGGTTAGAAGGGTGGTGTTTTATCTTTTTGGGTTTGGGTTACTAAGATTTGTCTTTTTGCCTCCTTGCTTGTCCCGGGTCTGTTACGGCCTGAGCCATAGTCTCTAGTTTTCTATTTCTTGTACCTATGGATTTTTTTCTTCTTCTTCTATTCTTGTCAGGGTTTTCAACTTTTTTTCTCAAACTGTTTTTGTGGATGGGCGCGAGTATCGTATGATGGTGATGATGCCCCAGTAAGTATGATACAGCGGTTGGGAAAAAAAGTCTTGGTGATTGCCCCTTTTTCGCAGCGAAGACCGGCAGGGGCCTTACTTTTTCAATTGTTGGAATCCCATCGAAACCTGGATCTCCTTTTTCCCAACTTCCTGGTTTAAAGTCATTTCGTAATTAATTTGAGGTATAGTCTACCCAGTACGAGTACAGTACCAACTGAAGGACCCACACACACAAAACCTTGTAGAGTTCTACCCTCGCTTAAAAGTCATCATTACCCCTAATTCACTGAGCCAATTGCCCTAGCAACATGTTACAATAGTCTAATGCCCCAATCTTTGATGATGGAGAAGTGTCAGAAGTGTCAGAATGCTCTGTAGTCTAAACATCTGGAGGATAATCTTTACGCGTCATACCGGTATATACCATACCTGGACAGTTTTCGGAGAGCGGTGGTCTATAGGGGCCTAGTTAAAACGCCTTTTAAAGGGACGATTTTCGGTGCAGAGGTTTCGAATCACACACCTCATAGTTGCCCTAAAAGGTAAGGAATAATAGAAGTGGCGAACATATCATAAATTACTGTAAAACACGGTATGGTATCTATGCCATCACTTTTCGTTCCAAAATCATATTCCTCGAAAAGGACATGGGAGATTAGCTTTATCGTAGGGTCGCCGACGGTTTTATTTAAAGTATGATATCATACTCGCCAATTTTAACCCCCCCCCCTGCAGGTGGGGGAGGATGGAAGCTACGGTACGAGTACAGTGGAGAGAGAGAGAGATGGGTGAAAATCTAACTTGTACGATATCATATCCTAAAATTATTATCATAATATCATACAAAGCTTGGCTAGGTTTTCGGAATTGATAAGGTATCATAGTTTGGAGAAACCCCTCTCCCCCCCCGCATGCTACTGTACTCGAGTACATCGAAACCAAGCCTGCCGATTTCTCTTTCAGCAATTCATTCAATCGCCGTATGATACCGGTGGCCTACTACTGTCTGCCATACGGTACCATAATCCACCAGCTGCCTGCCTGCCGTCCAGCACTTGAAAGGGAAAAAAATGAAAAAAAGGCATGGCTCGACCCCGGGTTTGAACCGGGGACCTCTCGCAAACAAGCTCAGGGTGAACCCTAAGCGAGAATCATACCACTAGACCAGCCGAGCTTGCTACCTTGTTAGGTCGAATTTGCCAGTCATATTTCCCCAGTGAGAAGTGATTCCTTCTGCGGAGGAGGAAGGGGGGGGGGTAAGTAGGCTGGACCACGTGTGAGATATCGAGTTATTTTGTCATGTACTCTTGTGAATTGTGTTCCTGTGGTGAATGGCGGAGCTGGGGGATTGGGTGTTACAACAGGCGATGGATCGCCGGGTTCGGGAATCCCCCTTCTGGTGGATGTATGATATGATATGTATGATATGATAGAACGGGGCTTGCCAGGGTATAGTGCTCGGGGTTTTAGGATTGGTAGTGGGTTTTGATGTCCACATTGTGTGTGGTAGGTTTTTGTACTAGTACTGTACGTATGATACTTATTTGGCTTCCTCATCTAATAATCCCCATGATATTGTAGTTATAGTTATCCCTTGAGAAAGGGGTATCAAAAAAAAAAAAAAAACTCCCAGGGCGCCGAATCTATCCAATGATCCCAAAGGCAATCATATCACGAACGGAATGAGATCAACCCCCCCCACAGTTCCCCCCCTTCTCAAACCGCCTTCGCCCCCCCACTCTCCTCCTCCCTCATCACCTCTCCCCACCACCACTCTAGAGCCCCCGCAGCTACCCACTCCGCAACCACCAAAAACTCCATACAAACCCTCATGCCAACCAACACGCCCACATCCCCCTTCAAAACCCCATACCGACTCCCTCCCCCAGGCGTCACCACACCCCCCTTCCCCAAATCCCACGCCGCCAGGACCGCATACAAAATCCTGACGAGCAAACATGGCATACCACTCAACACCGCTACATAAAACACTCTAGCGGTCCACGCGAAGGCCCGCCAATGGCGGTACAGAATGATCAAGGATAGGAGGATGAACGTCCAGGCCGTGAGGAAGAGAAGCGATGACGCACGGGCGTATGTGATTGCCTGGTTCAGGGAAGTGATCGCCGACGGAGAGGGTGAGGGGGTGGAATGGAGGGGGACCAACACCCCGCCGACGGCATTAAGCACTAGTGCCACGAGCACGAGTAAATGTATCAGGGTCAGTAGTCGGAGGATGGGATGGTAGATCGTTGACAAATGCTGGGTGCTTTTCTCAAGAGTTAGCGTCTAAAATATGATACTTGCAATGAATTGTACTGGTTTTTCATGCTACCGACCAGGAATTCAAAAACCCTAGACAGGCGGCTAGTAACGGCGACACCGCGATTCCGGAGAACACGGTCGCGGGGATGACGAGTGATTTATTTGTATCTGCTTGCTCGAGCGTGATGGTTAGTAGGAGGGCGCTGCCGACTATTCTGACTGGTTATGGCACTTGTCAGCTTGCACGTGTAACTTGACCGGCTTGCCAAGAGGACAGACATACAGAGGCAGAAAACGGCAATGTACCACCATCCCGTCTCCCGTGGTGTTCGGGATATGTTGTATGCCGTTAGGGACAGGAAAAGTGCGCCCAGAATTACTTCCGAGAGGGAGAGGTTTGCGCGGGGGGTCATTTGTCTAATTTTTCTTCTTGCATCATTCGCTTGTTTGGTGATGTGAGAACGTACTCGAGTAGATTATGGTTTGTATCAACACTCCGGCGAGAGAGTTGAGCTAGAAAGACGAGAAGGAGATGAAGAAGATGCAAGCGAGCAAGAACGTGTATACTCGAGTAGTAATATAGCAAGCGGATATCGGCATTACAGCCCCCCTCTCTTCTTCCCAGTATTGTATCACAGACTACAATCCCCCCATTCACCACTTCCAATTCGTCCACACGTGCGGAGCTTATAATAACTTGGGTCATCACACCATTTCATTGGGTCTCATCCATTCGCTACCTCGCCACAGCCTTCACGCACAATACCGGTAAATATGAGGAGATATACGAGGATGGCTCGGTATGGTGCCTTGCTGTCTGGCTTTCCATTTGCGAACGGATGCATGCGCCAGTGTCGATCTCCGACAGAAGAAATACAGGTGAAACCCTGTGCTCAGCCTCAATACAAGTACTCAACCAGTACGAGTAACGCGACGTTTTCTTCTTCAGCCAGAGTTCACAAGGGGAGCATACCATTGCTTCGGCTTAAATTTATTCCCATAATACAGGTACCGGTATGATACCGTATAATAAGACCTTCCCGGGCGCAAAAGCTTCATTCCGCCAAGTGCACGTCAGATAGGGCATCATTGGAATAAATAATAACCATGATATTGACCACAACCAGTACAAATGTGCTCATGATTCCCAACACAACTTGAAGGTACACAAAGAAACGCTCAAGAGAGAAAACAAAAGAAAGGAAGGCCCATGAATAGTAGCATGGATACTGGTTTAAAACCATTTTCCAGTAAGACCTGTGCCACCAGCAGCACCATTAATCACCTTGCCTTCAAATTGTAGATCACAAAGGGAACTACTCACCGCCGAGCAATGCCTTCCTCTTCTGCTGATTAACGAACTTACCCACGTCCTCCGCGAAATTCGCCGAGCTCTCGCCGAGCCTATCCATGCTATCACCCATGATGTTCAACTTCTCGGTCCGCTCTTGTATCTGCTTCGCCATATTTGCGAATACCCCGTCCTGGTTTGACGCGCCAGCAGCAGCAGCAGCGCTACCGGTACGTGCGTCTATTTCTGCCTGGCGTTTTTCCGCGCGCATTTGTTCTATCATTTTGCGGGACATGGGTCTTTCGGGGCCACCGACTGGAGTTCTGTTAGATAGGCTATGCGTGGGAGAAGGGGAAACAAGGAGCATACTTAGTAGGTCTACATCCTCGACTGTGACATATTGTGTTCCGGAGATCCATTGAAAGTTAGATATTGTAGGGCGGGCGGGGACGGGGGTATTTGGATTGTAAAGGGTGTCCTTTGGCGTATCCGCGCTGGAATAATTACCCATCAGCCTTATAGTCAACAAACCCGGAAATCATACAACTCGCCAACTATCACCCTTCCCCCACATATGCAACAGCGAACACTCCGCCTCAGAAGTCCACCCGAAAATATATCCAGCTCCAGTAACAATTATGTCCGCCAATCTGCTCTTCTCAAACCACTGTCCAATCTTGACCTCACTAATCTCCTTCAGCCCAGGGATTGAATAACTCTTCACAACACCATTACCCATAACACAGCTGAGACAGACACCGTGAGTTTCTAGCTCTACCACATTTGCAGACAGACAGTCAGAGTCCTCCCAGCTCTTATGCGCGCCCTTCGCAGTCGGCGGTCGGAATATCCTCGATTCGGACTTTGTCACGCCCAGTAGAACTCCGGGCACTTTTATACCGTCTCTGAGGTTTGCTACGGCTTGCTGTGTGGCATATACACGCTTGCCGGAATCGGAGTTTAATGGAATTATTTTTATAACTGGGCCTTCCATGTGGGTTATGTTCACGAAATTGCAGACAAAGCCGGGGCCTTGAGGAAGTAGTTTGAAGGTCGCAATTCTACCGTGGCTGGTTCCGACGAACAGTGCAATGCTTGAGAACTCTGTGATTCACTGTTAGTAGATGCTCTAGAGTATTCGTAATCAATTGCTTGCCATCGCCCTCGAGTGTGAGAACTCCGAATTCCAAACAAGTAGCTTTCTCTCCCTCCATAGGCTTGTCGTGGCTCTTTCTAACACTAGACCTCTTAGCCTCCTTTGTCAAGGAAGTCAAACTTTGGTGAAATATAACGGCAGGCCCCTAGGGAGAAATCAGCATGGGGAAACCTCGAGGCATCTCCCAAACATACCCTCAAATCAACAACAGATACATGACCGGTCTGATAAGCAATAGCAACAAATCCCACATCACTGCAGGCAAGATGCAAAACACTCCCACAATGCTGCTCAAGAACACAAAGCGGCAAAAGGCCCTCCTTAAGGGTAGGATTTGACTTCGACTTTGCATCTCTAATTGCCCCAGTAGGACTGCCCGGCTCAGACCTGCTCATGGACTGCAGAGCCTCGTCTTCTCTAGTCCTTCCGTAGCCTTTATTCTTGCCCCACCTGAATAGCACGACCTCTCCGGTCTCCATTCCCACAGCTAACTCTCCGGTAAAACCTGCCATGGAAACACACTCGATCTTCAGATCGACGCCACGCTCTAAAACCTGCCCTAAGTCAACCTCCATTATTTTCTCGTTTTCGATTTCGTCTGCGAGTCCCAAATCCCAGATCTTTACTGTCCCATCCAAGTGAGCCATTTGTAGCACGGTTCGACTCTCGTATCGTCTCAGAGGTTTGACATGTTCCACCCCGCCAATGATTACTTCCTTTGGGCCATCACGGCTCTCGATCATGCCTAGCCACCGCTGGCGATTTATAGGCGAGAGATTAGCGGTTGTCACACGAGGATGAATCAATGACAAGGAAGGATGGAACACCAAGGCCGGGGAGATAGGTTGGCCATCCGGAAAGCTCAGCGTCACTAGCTCCCCGGAAGCTAACAAAGCAATGACAGCAACGGGGTCATGGCTCCCAGCGTAATGAGGGCTGGTTCGGGGAAGCAAACAGAAATCAACAACATCGAGATCAGCTGGAGTCGGCAAAACACGCTGCCTTCTAGGTGACGCAAAGTGATCCGAGACGAATTGAATTGATGAAGTGAGCATATTCGGAGTGGGTCCAAGATCCAGAAGTGTGAGGCCCTTATTGGGCATCACAGACAGATTTCCACCCGCTACCAAGATGCTGGTGTCATCGGGGTTATCCGTACAGCACCAAGACACTTTAAACAGTGGCTGTCTGACAATTATTGTTCCCTCAGTCTCGCTAAGCATACTTGGCTGCGGACCGCACGGAATGTTGACATTTGTATCCTGCAGAGTCCTAGCTTGTACGACCCTGCCATCTCGTGAATCCCAAATCACAAGACAAGAGTCTTCGTGTGTAGTACAGATAAACGTCCCGGTAGGATGCCACAGTGCCTCGCAAAGCCTCGGCCTCCGCACAGAATTTAGCATGCTCCGTTCCGGATCAGCTCCAGGCGCACCAGGCGGTATCTCAAACTGAAGGTGAAGCGTTGGCGCATGCTGCTTCAAAGAGAAAACAACACACCCCTCTAGATATCCGATCAAGAGTGTTCCGAGATCCCGCGGATGCAGCGCAAGCGATACGATTGGCAAAACCCTGGCCTTCGGCGACCGTTCCCTCCATAAATTCGGCACCAGGAATGGCGACCTGAGCCGCCGGTCAAGGTCGTACGCGACCACCTCTCCATTCTGCAAGCCCATGAATACCCAATCCAACGATGGATCCGTCAAAACCGCGCTCACAATTCCCGGAGGTGAGTATCTGGCAGGCTGAGCTTCGAGGTCGGTCATGTCGAAAACTGAGAGCTCGCTCTTGGTGTCCACGACGACAATCCTATTATCGCATAGCTTCAAAAACTTGACGCCGGCCTTGCGTGTCAATGTGAATGTAACCTGCACTCGCTTCTGACCAAATACATAGACCTTTCCGGGAGTGGTCGCCGTTTCATTTGTTCCGACGGCGAAAAGTGATTGGATTGGGTCGTAGGCAAGGACAGACACGGAGGATTCGATTCCGTATTTCTCAACCTTGCGGTGGAAAATGTCAGTTTGGGGAGCTTGTTGGGGGAGCTCGTTGGGGGAGTGAGCTGAAGATACAAACTTCATCTAGAACAAATAGATCTGGAGCTGCAAGAGCTCCCGTAAAGTCGTGCTGGATCCCAGCCTGCTTTGACCGTAGGAAATCCATCACAGGTTTGGGTTGTAAAAGGGTTGCAGAGAGAAGCGATTCAGAAAGGAGCCCAAGAGTGCCAATGCTCGGAGATTATACTAGGTTGCGGAATTGTGGGGCCAACCTCAGCAATAACGTTCTTGGCAGTGACGTCGCAACACCGCCGAAACATTCATAGATAATACTCTCCAACTATCGTAAATTAATATACCAGCTCGAGGTGGACGTGACAGCAGGGCCATTGACAGGTTTTCCGTGATTTATAATTTATATTCAAGCTATGCAAGTAAGTGGATGATTGATTACCGAATTTCCCTGGCCAGCTACGAAGCAACACAATTCTAGTACCGTTTCCCCGATTAACCCCCCATACTGCGGCAATGTTACATCACAGCTGGTCACTCGTGTAAAAATCCCTTCAAATAAATCAGCAGCCACAAGTCCCTTTGAGTGGATGGTCTATCGCTACATAAAGGCTCCGCGAAAGAAACAAATATTAGTCGAAGCAAGAAAAAAAAACCCCTCAAGGTTAATCATGCTGAGTATAATTCAAGCCTGCCATTAGGAAAAACATCTATGTATCACAGCCATCGTTGACAGCCCCATACAAAGAAACATTCCAACACCTGATTTTAAACAAAGAGACCCTACTTTATAATAGAAGATTGAACCATAACCCATGACAACATTCCAGCCGTACAAGTAAATACTTTGGTGATAGGAACCCTCTTATCCGAGGCGTTTCGTACAGAATAGGTGGTTGGTTATTTGGGAACAACTGGTTGAGCAGTGGTTGGCTGAGCGGAGGAGCTGGCTTCAGCAGACTTGCCTGCAGCAGAATCATCGACCATGGCATCGTCTTCTTCCGCCTCGCCCTCACCTTCTTCTTCCTCCTCGTCGTCTTCACCACTGCTCTCAGCCTCCAAGTCCTCGGAACCGTCATCAGAGACTTCATCGGTTTCCTTGCTAGCGGCAGGGCCCGCGGTGTCATCTGCTCCGCCCATCTCAACGTCTTCATCGGCAGGAGCGGCCCCAGCTTCTTCTTCGCCCTCGAGCCCTTCCTCCTCTTCGGCTCCGTAATTGTCGGCATCATCCTCAGCCTCATCGGCCTCAGGCTGATCGGGGGGGAATTCGGAAGGGGCGGATTCCTCAGAGTCCCTTGAAAAGCGTAAGAAAAGCGGTATTGGAAGGATGGAAATCGTGTACATACCACTTGATGGCAAATCTGGTGACACGGGGCTTCTCGGCGAGAACGTTCCTCACAATTCTATCGGTCTGAACCTGTTTAGGGGGTTCGTTGTTGAGTTCCTCGGAATCGTATTCGTTGCTCACGTAGTAACCAACACGAACGAATTCGCGGCCATCATAAGAGCATGTGAGGAGAACGACGGTAACTCCCAAGATCTCGGATGAGGGAAGTTTGGCAAGTGCAGGGGGTTCGGCCTCGAAAACGAACTTGTTGACACCAACGGGGATGGGGCCGACAAGGAGGGAGTCGAGCTCCTGATCGTGCTCAGTGCTGTTGGGAATGTTAGCAAATAAGAGATTGGAGATGGAAAGCGATGAATTCTGATGGGATATAGCTTACGAGTTAGCGGAACCGACATAGGTAAGCTTCCACTCAAGATCTGCAGAAAAAACGGGTCAGTAAGGATAGAAATTGCAAAAGGGACTAATGAACAAGATTACCTTTAGTCAAAGGTTCGAGACATTCAAAGGTAATCTCAAACTGATACTTGTCGGCGAAGCGAGCAGGGTTGTTGAGGACATTAACGTTAAGCAGTGAAACAACAGACATGTTTTATATATTGACTGGTGGAGAACTTCAACCTGTCAGGATGGGATGAAAGTTGAGAGAAGGATGGGGGGAATAGTAGGAGGAGAGGAAAACGGAAGATGGAGTGGAGGTGGAAATAGGGGACGGAAAGGATGGGGGGGATGAAGGGGGAAAGGTGGAAGGGAGAGGAGAAGTGACTGACTAGCACAGAGGAAGGAGGGTTAGAGGTAGAAGGATGCGAATTGGGCGAATGTTTTGGTCGACGCGTTAAGAGAGTGAGTGACAAGGGGTGTGCCGCCCCAATTGCTGTGTCGTACTTGTCGCCCCACGGAACTACAATAGACTAGGTGTTGGCTAGGAAAGGGTCACAACGACGGTGGGAACGCACCCTAGGAATGAATCAGAAAGGTTGTTCCAACCGCAAAAGCACCACTAGCCAACCCATAAACCCTCCTCCCTGCCTCTTCCCAGAGATCTTGATGCACGAGTTTTTTCACCTTCCTTCACTCCTTCTTAACCTTTTACTTATATTTTACTATGATAATATCTTAATTCGTCAATTCTATACAAACAAACTGTTTATCGCCACCCATACCTGGCCTTCATACAGGGCCTCGACCGGTGCGATAGGTGGCATGATGGACTTTTCTTGTTTGTTGGGCCTATATCAGTAGGCTAAAGTGATTTCTGCCCTACCCGTCAGGGTCCTTTCTCCGTCACGTGAGCCTGCTCTGCATTCAGCACCCATCATGAAATATCCAAGTATGATATGGTACATATGCAGCATGGTTGTGTTTTGTCATGGACTCACCGACAGAAATTTTTACGGAGCTGGCTCGGTGATCATTTTTTGTAACCATGAGGGGAAGCTCCATTGGTGATGGGGGATACCGGTAGGCTACCATAATCTAGATGTCTTTGAGATGCTCTAATGGCTTATTATTTCCGGGGTGTTTGATGGCCACATTGATCAGCCCGAAGATCCTTCTCGGGAACGCCTCCGGAGTCCCGAAAGCACGTAACAATGCTGCTGTTATAAAGGTATGTATTACTCTATCTATCCCGAGGATAGGAGCCCTATTTGCTGTGGTCCTAGCCTTGACCACACTACCGTGCCTCTTAATTCTTGGGTCATGATCCGAGGCCCCCGTGGCCCCCCGCGGTAAGTGCTATCCCTAGACATAATAATGGGAAGTGTCGGGATTAAAATGCTCAGGCATGTACCATAATCGACCGTGTCTTAAGCACGAGTAGAGTGATGAATAAACATTACCCAAACAAAATAGAACTCGGGCCTCTATCTACAGTACAATCCGGGTCCGAATATCGTACAGCATCTATACAAAACGCGCCAGAGGAGCCCTATGAATGAGTTCATCTCCTTTTTTTAACCCCATCCAGCGCTCTAGCAACCCCACCAATCTCCCAGACATTGACAACCTCCTTAACCTCATTTTGGGCCTTAATCTTTTCCAACCTCCTGCTTTTGTCCACCTTTCTCAAGTACCCATTGAAAACCACCACCTCCGCTACGCAGACAACAATGCTAGACGCAAACGCCAAGGCGAATCTCTGCGGGACATCCCAGCCACTGGCAACCATCCATACAGCCACAGAAGTAGCTATCGTCGACAGTAATACATTAGCGATTATTGATAGCTGCGATTTAAGGTCTTGGAAAGTATATTCGTCCTCTTCTTCGTAGATGTCTTGAGGTTTGTTTGTTAGGGCGTTGTAAATCCGCTCTTCTTCTTGCTGGCGGAGGCGTGCCATCAGGTATTTATATTCCTGAGTCTGGTATTTTGTTAGCTTACTGAGGGCGAGAGGAGGGTGACAGCGGAGACAATACTGGCTCGGGCTTTGGCGGAGGTGGGGGGTGATAAAGGTTGCATCCTTGTAGGAGAGTGCTCAGGCGGTATTGGGATTTATCTTCGGAGGTGTTAAGGAGGGTTTGGGAGATGATGCGGATTTGGCGGTGATCGAGATGTGTCGTAGGAAGTGAGATCGCGGAGGATGGGTTCTCCTTGTTGTAGACCTCTATCGCAGCCGTGAGCTGCGATGTGAGGGTTAGAAGGACCATGATTACTTTGAGCTGTGAGCTATGTCGTTGAGGTTGACGCGTTGCGGGTTGGAGAATTGTGGAGTGAAAGTTTAAGTGGATCAGAGGGTTGCTTACGCCAAGATTAAGCTGACTCTTGGATTATCTCATGTTTTTCTACACTGAGGATATTATACTTGTACCTACAAGTACAGTACCTTACTGTAAGAATACCGGTACTGTGGCTGTGAATTGAAACTTCAAAGCTTTTGCGATCTCACACTGAGATTTTGTGGCCTATCCAGATTGCCCAATAGACTAAGGGTTAAACTACCGGCACCTTACCTCGGTCGATTGTGATAGAGTGGTCTTTCGCCTCTAAACATCGGTAGTCGGAACGGTCCGATCGGTCGTCGTAGGCTGTGCTCGAGTACTCGAGTAGGTTTCTCTAGTGGACCACCCTTCCTTGCCTCCCACTACTGTTCTGTACCTTTCGCTCTTCGACCCCCCTCTCCCCCACGCAAAAACACGTGCACGCACACACAACCTTTCTAGTCTCCATCTCCTCAATCGCCCCAAGCAAACATGGCTAAGAAGAAGGGCCAACGATACCAGGGACGCGAGCGCCGCGAGAATCGTGGACAGGGAGAGCGGGAAACCCAAAAGCTTCCATTCAAAGGTTTCTTCTATCTCTTTTCCCCCGCTATCTACAAACCTTACTCATAAGTCTCATAGCTCGTTGTTGGGATCTCGGCCACTGCGACCGAAAGAGATGTTCGGGGCAAAAATTAATGCGAGAGGGCTTGATTCGATCTATGCCTCTTGACAAAAAGTTTAATGGTGTTGTCATCACGTAAGTTTCTGCTTCCTCTCCCGTCCAAGTGGCAACTACCTTAATGGGGGGTGAAAGGAAAGAAATTCTCACGTTCCCTCCAGGCCTGTTGGTAAAACAGTAGTATCTCCAGCCGACAAAGAACTCATGGAGAAGTATGGTGCGGCGGTGGTCGAATGTTCATGGGCCCGGCTAGCAGACGTTCCCTTCCACAAAATCGGTGGGAAATGCGAACGGCTACTACCGTACCTTATCGCCGCCAACACCGTCAACTATGGGAAACCGTGGAGGCTGAATTGCGCGGAAGCGCTTGCTGCTTGCTTTGTTATCGGGGGTCATACCGATTGGGCCGAACAGATTTTGGAACCATTCCCCTACGGGGGGAGCTTCCTGGAAATCAATGGAGAGCTCTTGGAGAAGTATGCCGCGTGCGCTGACGCCAACGACGTCAAGAGCGCTGAGGCCGAGTGGTTGGACAAACTCGACAAGGAATACAAAGAGAGCCGTGAAGGAGGCGAAGATCCTTGGATGGGAGGCAATTCCAATCTCGCTTCCGTGTCCGCCCCCGGTAGCCGGGAGGCCACTGAAGAACCCATGGAATCTCAAAGCAGGTCGTATGAGATGCCTTCCTCGAGTGAGGAAGACGGGGAGAGATATCACGAGTACTTGAGGCAAAAGGCTTTACAGTCGAGAGAATTCACCAATCCTAAACCCACAAAGGTCATAAAGGCGAGCAAGGTGGATTCTGATTCCGATGAGGCCGCCTATAGCGGTGAAGAGGATGATCTTGATCGGGATAAAAGCATTTTTAACTCAGCCAGAGTCGGTGAGGACAAAGAGCCTTCCATCAAACATTCGAGCCAGAAGTATCCCAGAACTTATACGGCATTCTTGTCTTCAAAGAATATTTCAGCATCTGGAGGGCAAAGTGCATGATGGAACAAAATGATGAAATTCCAATTTCCTTGGTCGGTTTTAAAAATATCAAAAAGCTGTACGATAAGGGTAGTTGTCTGATTGTTTTCTCATGGCGCTCGAACATTTGTATATTCAATCCATAAAGTCAACGGGTATGATATTACCAAGAGCCCCAGTGACGGCTTATGAATCCCACTTCTCGCTGGAAAGGTACCTCTACCACACCGGTATCAGAAAAGCCTATTGAACAAAGGAAACCCCCAGCCCCCTCGATTTATCACCTTATCTGCCAACACAGTAACTACAATCAGTACTCTACGAGTAGGTATTTGTGAGACAAATGTTGGTTGCCTACGGTAGAACCCGCCAATAACACGGGGTCCAGGCAACCGCTGAATGATGGCTCCCTCAGGCCGCCTCATTATCTATTACTACGCGGATAGCGCAATGCCGTACAAGCACTGGAACAGCGCTGTCAATTGCTTCATTGGATTCAACCTGACACTACATTTAGCTTCACGCAGTATGCTGTGTGCCTAGTATGCGGGTACAGCGCAGTAGAGTACCGGTACTCTACGGTACATTGTTTGTGCGGTGGTATGATATCGTAAATGTCGTTGCAGCTGTGCCAGTCGTTGGGTGGTGGCCTACCGGTGGGTAGGGTAGGGTGGGAGGCCTAATTCTTAGGTCCGCATATATCTGGACGAGGCTGCAACGAAAAAAAAAGTACTGTACACCACCACCTACTGATCAGTCCACACCTACCAGAATGCCAATATCTTGCACACATTGCTGGATCTCCCATGTCCAAGACCAACATCGGATGGGGATCCCTACGGGCTGCCCGACCTGCCGAGTGACATTTTATAGCAAGTCCGCCTTCAGAAGGCATAGGGCGGATCCTACATCGAGTTGCGGCGCTCGTGCAGTCAGTGAATTCCGCTGCCTCGATTGTGACCTGGAATTCCGCAGCGCAAGGGCGCTCGATAGTCATCTTGCCTGGAGCCACTCTAATCCCAGGGAACCGCCGCCAGATCGACGGGGAATACACTATTGTGGGGAATGCAGGAAGAGCTTCGAGACGAGTACAGGTTTGAAGTCTCACCGTGAGCACGCCCGAGTACATAAACCCCTCCTAGCCAGGAAGGTGGATTGTGTTGGGGGGTGCAAGAAGACGTTTGATGCGCCATCCAGCTTGCTGGCCCATCTCGAGTCCGGGGTCTGCAAGTCCGGTATCACGAGGGACAAGCTTGATAGAGCCATCATCGCAGAGGACAAAACAAACGTTATCACCGACCTGGACGCCGTTCTCGCCCGGCAGACTAGGAACCTCTCCTTGACGAATAGCGACATCTCGAGCATTTGTGGCGGCCCAGTCTTTGATACTCCGGACGACTTGAGCGATGCTGCAAGCACCTCCGCACAATCGGAAACCTTCGACGGTCTTCCAAGATACGATCCCGCTGGCGGGGTGTTGCTCACTCCGGGCGGATTCTCAAACGAAGCCTTCTCCTCCTCGGCCGGCAGTGGAGTCTATACCCCGAGGGGTAGTAGTACTGGAACCGCAACCCCAATCGCAGGCGTTAGCGGTGGCGGTGGAATACTCATCAACTCCCCATCCTTCTCAGCAGCAAGCTTCTCCACGACAGGCAACCCCTACACCCCATCCACCAGCTCCATCGCATCAAACCAACCTGTGGCGGAGCCAACCATAGACCAACTCCGCTCCTGGCTCCTCCCAGACGGAACCTTCGAATGTCCAAACTGTCCCGACCCCCCCGACCCCACCACCACAAAGCCATCCTTCCTAACATTCGCTGAACTGCGGGCGCACATGCGATCCCCAACCGCCCATCCCCAACTCAACAATAACCTCAACTTCACAGACCCCCACGACCTACCCATCAGCAGCGCATCCTCCGAATCCGGAATCGCTACGCCTTCAACCATCCCCGCACATCCGTACCTCCTCCCGGGCGGGGAGTATGAATGTCCCTTATGCCCATTAGGCTCCAGGAAGCGGTTTAGGTTGCTCGCGGCGCTGCAGACTCACATGCTCTCGCCCATCGCGCACATGCCGAATATTTACCATTGCCCGGATCCGGCGTTGCTTGGCATCGTACTGCCGCCTGGCACGAAGAGCAAGAAGCAGAAGAGCTTCGCCACACTCAGCGCTTTGGCCCAGCATGTTGAGTCTAGCGCGTGTCAGGGTGGGGGTTTGATGTTTAAGGCCATGGTTGGATTTGTCAACGAGAAGTTGGGGAATCTAGGGATGGGGGATAGGAGGATGATCGCTGCGGAGTAAATCGATCGGGGAGAAGGACGGAAGATATATATATATATATATTTTTTCTTTTTCACTTTTCCCTTGCATGAAATTTCACACATGGATATACTTTTCGCTGGCTACTGCCGTTGATTTTTTTTGATTTTTTTTTCCTATATTTTTACTTCTGGGAAGCTTGCTTGTACGGTAGTTCACTTGGGCCTCTGTTAAGGGTTACATTGAATTTCTCCGCTTCACTAAATTTCGCGATGAGCCGTCTGTCCGTCAGCCACTGACATGGCAGGGGAGAAAACAAACAGAAAGGGTACAACAATCGGCCCTGCCAGATTTGGCGTTTTGCGCCAGATTTTTTGGTGCATCGCTGTTCCCCCCTGTTCGTTGCCCCCCCCCCAAATTACTATTTAATTATGATATGGTATCATACCTACAAGTAGAATCGCGAACCCTGTTAGGAGACTGCCCATTTCCCGACCGCCGAGTCCAGAGTCCCATCCGCGAGTGATATCCCATGCCTGGAGTGTGCCCGAAACTCCCTAACAATTATCCATCAATGCAGCCAAAATATGATCCACCTCGGCGAATGGTATGCAGGCATGTATCATATCATAACCAGCAGCACCAAAACCCCTCTACAATTCCATTCCCCTCGTACCGTACGAGTACATGACACGACGCCCGCCATCCTATCATAAAGTTCTTGGACATAAGTCATCGTCAGGCGGGTAAAGTATTATGATACCAACTGAAAACACACCAAAATTAGCGAAATTTAACCCCAACTAAGTCCTCACTGATTCAGGAACCCCAATACCAATTATTACCAAAATATAGATGTAAGTAGCCAGTAACCAGGTGATTTAATTCATGTCTTTTTAACTGCGATTAATTGTGAATTGGCCATTCCACAAGCAAGAGAGGCTCAGGGTGCCTAAATATTTGTGCCAAGCTTCGAAATTTGTATGGAGGCCCATAGAAAAATGTACTTGTTTTTGAAAATTCCCATTTTCATAGCCTAACTAACAATGCAAGACAGATCTGATCCCGCTGAAATTGAGGTATTGTGAAGTCCATACCAGGGCCTGTCACCTGAAACTAATATAGAATCAATTGAAGTTGACATGGCATTGTTGCAAGAACAGCCACTTTTGGTGTGAAAAGAGCAAGTGACGATCGCTTTTGTCCCGGTATTGTACAGTACCACCACCAACCATCCTACCGATTCTTAAGCCCCCTCTGTATATCCTCCCTCTCAAGCAACAGGGCAACGGTATAATACTCCCGGGCAAGAACTTCATTGGAAGCGCAACGATGAACAGTCGAATGACACGGTCTATCGAACATCAACCCCCTCCCATGAAAGAAAAAAAAAAAAGAGTTTACACAACTAACCGACAAAGCCATGCAACGCTATCAAGCATAACCTCCGGATGCCACTTCCTCTTGATTACTTTTGCGTGCGTAGATTTCTACAGTACCATCAATCCACAAGTCAACCCTTCTTCCCCCCTAGAAGCGAAAGCAAAAGGGAAAAGAAAAAAAACATACCGGAATCAAATGATGATACGTAATCCCCACTCCGACCCTCTCGCAAATCTCACACGCATCGTTCCTACTCCCCGCTCCCGTCCACTCCGGCGGCGGCGTGCACGCCGCGTCGATGTACTCTGACAGCACGCGCGAGATCAGTTTCTCGACGTCGTCGGTGTCGGGGACTATGTCGTAGTTTGTCAGCGATTCCGTGATTGATGGGGGGAGGGTGGAGAGCGGGGGGATTAGGGGGTGGTATAGGGTGGTGGTGGAGAGGGGTGTGGCGGTTTGGAGGGGTGGTGGGAGGAAGGTGTAGAGTTCTTGGGTTAGGTAGTCTAGGAAGTCGCTGAGGTCTTCTAGGTCCGTGGCGGGGTTTGGAGAAAGGATGGATTTTTGGAGAATGGCTGGGGTGAGGGACTCGCGGAGGAGGGCGTAGTTTGTTTCCATTGGGCTGTGTTTGATTGGGTGGAGGGGGAGTGGGTCGGGGTATTTGTTAAAGCTTTAGAGAGGGCGGGGGGGAGAATTATATCATAGATTTTTGGAATACAGCGATTACTCTAATACTGTATGATACTTGTACTACCGGTAGGCTAGAATATATCAAGGTTCTGTTCAGGGAATGCTGTTGTCTGCGGCTGGCATTTGGTGCAGGCCTTACAGTAACTGTCACTTGCAGCACACCACCCACTCTTGGCATACAGTTGAGTACCGGTGTGGAGAATTGCTTGATTTGGAGGTGCCTTTCATGTATTTGATGGGGAGGAGGCTCTGGATATTTTTCATGTGTAAGAGGGGGCTTGGCATGCAGGATTTTCTTCTTATAGCTTTCTTTTTTTTCTCTTAGCAACAATGAGAACACACACACACCCACTACCGGGAAATAGAACTTTTCATCTCTACTGAACTGAGCCTACATTTCTTTCTTTGATTCCTCTGCGTTATTTTTGAAATTGATCACTGCTCACCAGTCCTGATTATCAGGCAATTACTTTCTGGTATATCGTGAAGGTAAAGTGAGTTAGCGGGTAGGGCACAGTGTGTAGTCAAACCACCATCCAGGAAAAGGGAAAGAAACTCCCCCCCTGACAAAGTGGTGCTCTGAAACGGATTGGTGGCACACTTTGACCCCTTCGCCATACCTTACCTGCTAAGCATCATTCATTTGCTGGATATCGGAACAAGAGACACAATGGAGGCATTATCCGAAGAAGTGGTAGAGGGAAAGGATGACTGTGACTTGCAATTCTGTTTCGGGCAAGACTTTTTTCCTCCGACCGATCTAGAGAATTTATTTTCATCACTGTTAAGCAGTTCAGATTATTATTCAGAGTATTTCCCAGTAGTCTCATCGATAATGAATTACTATCCAAGATCACCTGGTATGGAGTTCACTGGAGATGATGATTCGATTAGTGTTGAAGCCTTTCTGAGTTGAATGGAATCTTGGCTTGCGACATTGGAACCAGAGTTCAATAGTAGTACGACGCAGTCAAAATGGCTCTGTGTAGCCCAAATTCATATAGCTTGCCCGATGAAATCTCCTGCAGGGCGCTTTTTGAGACAGCTTCCAAATGAGGTTTTATAGAATGAGGCTGCATTCACGAAGGCATTGGTGGAGCAATTACAAGATACATACTTGGATGATCAAGCTTATGGAGAGATCCTTTCAATTATGAGCAATGTTAGACAAGGAGAATGGGACGTATTCTCCTATTCACGAAGGGTTCTCAAGCTTCTTCAAAGAAAGCTATCGGATGTCCCGCAGTTGGATGACGTCTTGATTGGTTACTACATCGATGGTCTCAAAAGTCAACGGTTGCGTGAAATGGCAACAGTGAGCTTCTGCAGAGCAAGATCACCAGAAACCCTATATCAGGCTGTGAAAGGAGTCATGCGGCTGGCATGGCAGCTTAAGATCAAAGGCTACGACAAGTCTAGCAATCAGGAGAATGAGGATACGAGTGATGAGGACAGATTTGGTTTCTCAGATGACTCAGCAAGTGATTCAGACTCTGAGTTCGAGGAGTATTGTAACGATCCCCTTTTAGATAGTTAGTTCTTGGTGACGGGGAACGATACTTATCTTTTCTGTCTCCTTCTTTCTTTGTCTTACGATAGCTCTAGGCCTCTGCCTACGTTACCGATAGTACAAGACCCTTGTCTTCTATCAGAAACGCCTATTGTAAGCTTTCTCTAACTCGTCTTCGTGACGAGCACTTCTTGGCGTAATGACAACGTTGCAATAACGACAAAGATCGTAAAGGTGTTTTATATTCGTTAAAGTAATAAGTAGGAAAAGTACTTAGAACAAAGCGTGAAGAACCTATCTTCCTCGGCCGCATCGGCCTCCTTATATAGTATTCTTCCCGCCCATAGTCATGTGACCTAAAGTGGTCACATGTGCGAAACCAAATCATAACAAACTAATTATGTGACCAAAGTGATCACATGCTCAAAACCCATGACCTTATAACGAGGTCATGTGCAAAACTCATAAACCAATCATAACGCAATAAACAAGTCATATGACTCGACTGAGTCATATGCACAAAACCCATGACCTCATAATGAGGTCATGTGCGAAACATAAATCATATGCGCAAGGCTTACCCACAAGGCATACTCGCAAGGCATACTTGTCAGGCGCATGTCCCATGACTCATACTTGAGCCATGTGCGAAAGCATCACAAATCCCACACATAACAAATCATATGACCCTAATGAGTCATATGTGTGAAACAATAACGTACCTGTGACTCATAACTATGCGTCATGTAAAAACCCTATCCTCGCTAAGCCACATTCGTGACAAGTATCGTCATTATTCGAAGAAGTGAAAAGGCCCTAAAAAAGCTGTGAAGGCAAAGAAGGCAAGTAGCAAGAAAGGATGCCAAACACAGTACAGAAATGGCAAGAGCAGTAAAGGGATTGAGGACGAGGAGGATACTGTATGAGGAAAGGTTCAAGAGTTACAGGAGATGATGTGGGATTTGTTGAAACTGCAGAAAGGTATGGCAGCAGATACCGAATGTGCAGTAGCCACTCGGCAGGAGACAGAAATCATTCCGCTTGACAGTTATGCTGTTGCAGATGGCTATAGGCAATACCCTCAGGGAGGAGGGTACTTGCGAGGATCTCAGAGTACCAGCTATCGAAGTGGTCAAGGTAACTATTATTCAAATCGACGAAATCAAGTACCACAGATGGAGAACTATAGCCGAGTGCCTCAAGGAGGTCAGGCATTTTTCAATGGTATACCAACAGAGCTCAGACGTGGAAGGCCAATGGATAGTCTTCACTTTTCAGATTACATTAGACAGCCAGGACATGGGTTTGTCCCACAACATATAATCGAACTGCCAGAGCCTTATCAAGCGGGACCTGCATCTCTGGAGAGTTCTGAACCTCAGCCTATTGTGGGACCTAATGGGTTGTTATACTATCCAGCTCGCCAGTGGGTATGTTACTAATGTTAAGAAGAAGGCTAGTTATGCCTGCAGTATCCAAGATTACGAGGGTATCAATCTGCACCGAGGTCAGCATCTGTTGTATCAGAACATCCAAATCGCTCCTCTATATTAAGGGAAAGACCGTTAGCCCAAGGTGACAAGCCAGTTAGTGTAGTAGAGGTTGCTACTCGATCCTCCGCGCTAGATAGTATGAAGGTTCGTGATGTAACTGGAACTGAAGTAGAGCCTTCAGATTTGACAGAATTTCTTTGCAAGGTGCAAGACAGTGAGGATGATGATGATAATGATGTATATGAAGAAGATGGAGCGCTGGTAATGGCTGGAGAGTGAGTCCGTCGTTTTAGCAAATTACCACTCGAGTTTGATGCGGAGGCCGGACCTGCAAGCCAATGACAACAAAGAGATACTGAAGATGATGAGGTTGTAGAATTGACTACAGGAAAACAGAAGGTTTAGGGTCCTATATCAAAGGGTGTACGCAGGCCAATTTGGATGATGGCAGGTCCAGAGAAATTTGACATTGTTGGTGCCTTTCGGGATGCTCTAATAATTGGACTGAATTGAAGTTCATTCTTTGATCTTGCACCCTCGGTCAAGAAGGATATTTGTCATTTGTTAGTTCAAGAGTGAGCGAGAGGCTTTCAGCGGGCTAAGGGCAAAGTCAAGGAAAAGAAAGTTATAATGAACTTACAAGCAGGAGCAAAAGAATTGCCTAGAGAGGAAGAAGCACTGGCTGTAGCCACAGATCGTGACTTGGAAGATGTCATGAATTTCTACACAAAGGGAATTATCAAGACAGAGAAAGGCAGTTATCGCATTTCTAGAATCTTAGTTGATGCGGGCTTAGTTGTTAACCTCATGTTGATTCATCTATTACGGTTGATTGGCACAAAGATGAAGAAAGCTGGAGGGATGGTTATTTGAACAGCGATGAATGTCCTGGTAAAGATTGCCGGTTGTGCAGATATTCGGATCACGATTGCGAGCGTCCCATGCAATCTGCGTATTTACGCTCTTTCAGAGGAATACAAGCCAACATACCTGCTATTGTTGAGTAAGCGATGTCTTCAAGCAGTTAAGGCCAAGGTTGATTATGCGACTGGCAAGTATTATATCATGGGCAGTCAAGGTGCTCGAGTACAAATACCAGGTGATGAACGCTATAAGAATGTTAGGAGAGAAAGTTTGGAAAGGCGCAAACCCCGTGTACCAATTGTCTTAAGAGATAAGAAAGGTGGTAGGCATGGCCTATCACCGGAAGTAGAAGAGGAGCTTGAATTACAGGAGAAAAGAGGAGGAAATTTCTTTGAGGAATTGATTGGATTCATCAAGCGGCAAGCAGAGAAGCAGATGGAAGATGAGGGAGAAAGTAAAGTGGGTGAGCTATCTGCGGAGTCGGAAAACTAGCTACACTAGTTGATAGTTCAGGCCAATTAGCTGGTGTTGTGGAGAAAATAGATACGGCAGATTTGAATGGTTTCGATTTGTTGAATTTCGATAGCTTGAATGATAATAGGATAGGGATAGATGATGATAGTAGTGAATTGTTTGGGAAGCTGATTACTGTTGATAGCACTAGATGTACTACGGATTCTGAAGTTACTGAATCGATTGAAGATGAGATTGAAGGATTTGGACGGGATAATGTTTACTTGTATGGAGAAATAGGATGTTGGAAAGAGAGCGGATGAGATTCATATATGGTGAATACATTGGAATTACGCAGAGACAGCAGTGCAGGTAGAAGGCAGCAAGGGGCTGAAGTGGAGGATCATGTGGAGGAGCAAGTCGTTGATATCGTGGAGGGATTGGAGGTTCCTGAAAAGTATGACAAATTTGGGAAGACAAATTGGGCGGACATGGGAAGTGCTACGGATGAGAGGGAATTGGCGGAAATGGAGGCATATGGGCATGTATTGGAGTTCCCAATGGTAAGGAGGCCAGTGAGTTATCGGAGGGAACTAAGTAATTCAGCAACTGGGATTCCCATGTGGTTTGAGACCTCTGGAATAAAGTTAGAGAAGAAGTTGAAAAGGAAAGAAAGAGAGGAGGCAATACGGCTGATA